ACACTGCTATTTTCTCATAAATTACAAAAATTTGCACGAAAATGCAGGAAAATTTTGTGAATCTCCACATGCTCTTTTTACAAAACTACGTATAACACGTAGGGTTGCCGTAAGTAGGGTTGCCAAATTTCGCAATTTATGCGAATTTTGACCTGGTTGCGATACTACGTAAGTACCAAGTGAATTTTTTTCGCTCATGCACAATGTAAAAAGGTAGGAGTGAAGTGACTTTTTTCCCGCTCCTGCACAACGGAAGGGAAAGGAAAATAGGTTGCCATATATTAAGAAGTTCGCCAAGTGAATTACTCTTGGAGCAAACTGACAAAAATACTCCAAGATAAGTTGTTGAATTTCCCCGTAAATTTCGCACCAAATTTTACAAAATTTAAATTTTAAGTATAATTTGAGTCGTAGAATCAAAATATGAAAAAAAAATTGGTATGTTATTTCAGAAAATGTCCTATTTTGTGTCAAAATACATATTTTATAACAATACTATATATGAATCGAATATATATCCTAAATCGCGCTTTCGACACATGAAAAACGCAATTTGAATTTCGTCAATCGGCCCAGTATAACGGGAGATATAGAACTGTCTCATTTTCTTTTGCGCAATGGATATAGAAATTTATCGTATTTAATTATGATTGAATAGGTGTCTGCCAAATTAATTGGATATGTGTGAAAATAAAGATTGGTGATTTGTCGGAATCTAGTTTCGTCGTCTTCGTCTATTCTTGCCACTCCGCCAGCACGACCACGCATCAAAATTATTACATATATGCAGACACACAGATATATATATCTGTGTGTGTGAGATAATACTGTATAAATCAAAATTCTAGCTTTAATCATAGTGCAGGCGCTCACATAATGCTTCGGCCAACGGTAATTTCAAATTTTGCAACCGGAACTTAAAATTAGTCGTTGGGGACAAAGCTGACCTGAAACTAAATAATTCTGAACCAGGATTTCATCTTAATACGTCGCATACTGCCGACTTGCTAATGCCATCTACTCCTTCTGCTTTCAAATAGATTTCAAACGTATGTAAGGTACCGATGCAGTTCTTCAAGAACGGGTCCACTTTCTGCGCAAATCTATCTGCCTTTGTTTAAAAAATACTTGTAAGAGGCAGCAAAAATTATTAACTAGACCACGACTGCAACGACTACTATATATAGCTATGTATCAACATCATTCAAAATATTTCATATATTTATGTACATGCATATATATAAGATAAAAAGTATGTAAATTCGGCTTTATGATTTAATTTAGTAATAATCTCTTAATTTCTCATCTTTAATTTGCGTATTTCCTTTCTGTATTCTAAAAGCAGTAATAACGTTTTTAGACTGAGCAATTTTTAGATTCATTTATGTCACATGGCTTGCGTAATGATGTACGGAACGCGGTCTCAAAATTTTCAGAACTGAAATCTTTCTGACCTAAACCAAAACCTTCTCTTGGTGAGCTTCCATACTGGATAATTGCGCACTTTTGCTTCTAACTCTGTGCCGCTTTGACGCTAGTTCATTCTGCTCTCTTTCTATCGCAACAGCATCAAAAATGTAAATGGTCTGTGAATAGGTACGATTAAAGTGCCAAGTGAATTGTGGCCACAATTGCGAATTGAAATAAAAATGATTATTTAATCTTACTTGGCTTTCAAGTTTCCTAGGCATTATGGGTTCAACATTTTAGCATTCTACGGAATCAGAATTCTTCCTCTTCAATATGGATCTACGTTGTTTGCTATATATTTGCTGCGCCATCAGTATTTCTACGTTTCTTCGTTTAAGCATTCCTGCGGATTTGCGCGATTGCTTCTAGATCAAAAATAATAAAATTAATAAAATTAAAGGGAAAAGTCAGAACTAAATGATAAATTATAATTTATTCTTTATGAAAGCCGTAATTAATTCTTTCTCTATGAAAGACGTAACCCAAAAGGAGTACATGCAAAATTATAAGAAAATTCAAATACGTATACTGAACTGAAAATAATACAAAATAGAAAAATAAACAAAAATTGTGTATTAATCTCATCTTTTTTACGCTTCAATCAAGAATTGCCAAGAGAAAACTATTTTGAAGCCTTAAACTAAGTTGATTAATGAGTTCCGAATACATGTTTCTTTCCTTTGAATCATTTGAGACACAAAACCGCTATATTAGAATCAAATCTTGACTTTAAAACAACATTTAATGGCTCTCATATGTTCAGACCTTTTCCCTACATGTATTCGCAACCCCTGGACTACAGAAATAATATACAAAAGTAGAAAAAAAATTAAAAAGGTAAAAAGAAAAAAAATGTGGCAAAAAAAACCTGAAAAAACAAAATGCTTAAAAACTTAAAAAGGCCAAACGAACTAATTACAATCATATCCATCAAGAGGAAACCCTAAACAATAAAAGAAAAAAATTAAATAAAAAAAATATTTGGTCAGTATTTAAAGCCTAAAATAAGGGCAGCTCGAAAGCGTATTAAACTGCCCTTTTTTCGAATCAAAATAATTGTCCCAAAAAGTACACAGACAACTACTCATAATAAAGAGGTGCGGAGAACTAACGTAGTTTTAATTAAAAAGCTTTTAAGAAACGCCCATAAAAAAGCTGCCGAGAACTAACGAATATTTTATTTAAAAAATATAATACACCAAAAAATACTAAGAACAAAAGTCTGCGAAAAGCAAACGAAGTTTCACTTTAAAAAAATATCCTTAAAAAGCTGCCGAGAGCTAACGAAGATTTTATTTACAAAATAATACACATAAAAAGTACTCAAAACAAAAAGCTTCCTAGAGCAAACGAAGTTTCACTGGAAAAGCTGCCGAGAACTAACGAAGAATTTAATTAAAAAGATGCCTAAAAATTCCCAAAACAAAAAGCTGAAGAGAACAAACAAAGTTTCATTTAAAAGTTATCCGCGATTCAATTCACCTATAGGTGTCGCTTTCACACATTAATGTGGCGGATAAAAACTGGTATTTTGATTTGTGATCTGACTTCGTACATTCAAAAATGGAGTTGCTTAACTTTTCCGAAATGCTTGATTTTGTTCAAGGAGGCGTAAATTCTCGCTGTGTTACTGAAGCAGAGCGAATTTTGAAAAGCGGATTATTTGGTAATGTACGGAATTTTACTTGAAAAATCCAATTTACAAATTTTGGCTTCCTATTTAACGATAAGTTGTACAGCGTCCTGATCGCATGAAATCGAAAGACATTTCCTTGTTAAAAAGGAGAAGTAAAATTAAAAAAAAAAAAAAAAAAATTCCTTGTTCATGTAAAGGAGGAACTGCTGGCTGTTGTAGGAAATTGTGTCACTGTTTATTGTATTGCGACAGGTAGCTGATTTTAACGTTCACTGATTGCAAACAAATGATTTCATATGTGTTTAACTTGGGATTTGTAGAAAATCTGTGCAGTCAAAAGTGTCTTTTTCCCCATAAAAATGATATTGAATCATTATATACTAAAAATATATTGATCTATTATATTCGTCTATTGTATTCATATCTATTAGATACATAATAGCACTAATTATCAGATGCAATTTTGAGAATATCAACAAGCAAAACACTTAAAAATGAAAAAAGACACTTGTAATAGAAATATTAGTATTCTATATGTATTATAGAAAATACATGCAATGAATAATACCATAACCAAACATTAAAAAAAAAAAAAAAAAAAGAGCAGATTAAGTATTACTTACCCCTTAGTACTTGAGAAAGCAATCCTGGCATATAACATGTAGTTAACTTTTGATTACATGATATTACAAGCATTTTCTTTATATTTGTCCTACAAGTGGTTAAAATGACTGAACACATAATGCCCACAACAATAAAAAATATACGTTTAATTACTTTTCGATCGTAACACGCTTCACAAACTACGTAGTATTGTCAAACTTAAATACAGATTTTTAATGTTTCCACCTTTTAGCCACGAGATGGCGGATCAGAGCGCTGGAATCGCGGATAGAAATTATAAAAATTTTTGATAGAAAATACTGAAAATAAAAAACTGGCAAGAAGAATCGAAGTTTAAATAAAAGGCCTCATTAAATTAAAATATCAATCAGGAAAAACTTACCTAACACCATCTTACCACTTGTTGAGTAAAGGAAGTTAGAAATGGATGCCGAATAGGTTTGTTGAAAATTAAACTACATATGGAATGAGTTTTACTAAAAAGGGAAAAAGGAAAACTAGGGAACGGAATTATAGATTTCAAAACACAGTTATAGATTTACTTCATTGATATCTTCTTTCACTCATTTTAGAAGAATTCTACATTCATCTATCAGAGTCCGCCAGGAGGGTCAGGTTGCGCTCCAACATGACTCATGTATCAGATTCAGAAATATTGAAATGCTGCGCAGTTTTTGTAATTTTTTTGAATACTTCAGGTATTAGTGTTAACCAAACAATTATCCTCAGGTTCATGATATTGTTAAATGGTTATATTCTATAAAAAATAATTTGTGATTGTCTGGAAAAACGATATAAATATTCTGTTATATATATATAACATATTTTGTAATATACGTAACAGTTAAATAATTTGGGCAGTACTGCGCATGCGTTGGAACCTATTTTTAACCTCCTTGGTTGGAACGAAGGCACCAATAGGAAACTTGGCTTTACAATGTAGGAGGACAAAAAGAATAAACGAGGTAGGAGGACAAAAAAAAAAAAAAAAAAAGAAAAAACGAGAAACAATAATTATTATTGCTACCCAAACAATGGGAAAATCAAAAAATGTTGAGGAAACCAGTTCGAATCGACAAGTATGGTCAACTCATTTTCATTAGAAATTTCATATAAAAAATACTATTGTTTATGATACTTTTTCACTATGGTATTCGTAGAAATTTCATCTAAACATACTCATTTTTCTTCTGATATTGTTCTCGGCGTATTTACACTTTTCTCTTTAATTATTTGCTCGTCGGGCAGAAAGACTGTTATTGTGGCGAAGATGTGCTTTCTGTTTATGTATGTGAAGTAAAAGAGTGAGGGATAAACATGTTTGTTGTTTTACCATATTTCCTTAGACCAGTTACTCGAGTATGTGTAACAAGCAGACTTTTGAAAATATATGAGAAACAGTGCTATTATTCTACAGAAGTCAAAGTTACTGATGGTAATGTTGCTGTCTTTCTTATTACGTTAATTAATATGTATATCGCGCGTTCATCGAAAGTATTTAGTTTTGTACCTTGGAAATTAAATTAATACTTCGTCACGTGAAAAATCATACCGTCATTCCAACTATAGTGTTTAAGAGCTTAACGGGGTATTTGTAACGTTGAACAATTCTTCTGTGTTGGTGATGTTTTCAGATAATCTCTCGAACAGTTATTTTTTAAATTACAAAATGTTGATTCTGCTTCTAGTCTAAAAATTATGTGATCATTTGGTATCAGTTTGAGGCTCTAGTGTAGAAATGGGCACCCCTTCGATTAGCAACAAATTTTGTTAAATTTTGGCGATTAAACCTCATTTCTGGTTACCATGATAATTTTAACTTCCTGATTTTTTTTTTTTTTTAATGAAAATAGATTTTTGTGTACATGGACAAAGTTAAGGCAGTGCGCAGTGCCAAGTTTGTGCAATTCTCTGATGTTTTTTGAAGTGAAAATAGATCGATTTGCGCAGAGTTTGGGCAAATCTTTGACTTCTTATTTTGGGTTTGTGTAGTGGCTATCTTGAAATTGTGCCTTCCTACCACCAATATTCGCTTCAAAAAAGAATCGACTAAAAACAAGTGGCACCCAGTTGTAAAGTTTTTCCCATGGTATATAACGAATGATAAATACAAGGAGTGGAATTTTATTTCCAAACTGTCCACCAGTGATGGAGTGTGTAAGATCATTTGTTCAGGCAACAGCAGAACTGGGTTAATCTTTGGATTATGGTAACTTGGCGAAACTTTGGCGACCAACCCTGCTACAGCAACGTGCTAGTTTTTGTTTGGACGCCATTTTGTTTTCACGAAGTAAAGGCATGTTTTTTTTTTTACTCAACATTTTTTTCCAACAATCTGCTAGCCGAATTACACTTGTGCTAGAACTTTTATGGAACAAAAGTGCTTAATCATGACGAAGATTAGGTGCGAAATTGGGAGAAAGTGCAGAATCGCAAACTGCTTGCCACATTTTTAAGAATTGCACATACACGGTATCCATATGCACGTCAACCTATTTTCACTTAAAAAAACATCCCAGAATTGCACAAAATGGCATTGCGGACACTCTTGACTTCATCCATGTACACTGCTAAAGTCCTAGCTAGTAACCTTTATCGCCGTACCAAAATGTCACCAAACTATGTTACCATATTCCAAAGATTAGCCCAGAACAGCTTTCGTAAATATTATAAGTTTAGCAAACTTATAGTTCATACTATCACTAAGGCCTGTGTTTATGTCAAGCTGCATAATATTTGGACAACTCATTGCAGTCTGCACTAAACAAAAAAGAAAAACTGTGCCATGGAAAAATAAATATAAGAACATTTTGTCATCATATTTGTGACTGATTTACTACCAACATTCAAAAGTAAGCATTGGCTTACTGATTGTCGAGTGGATAAAACCACGAATCGTAGCTAGTTTGACCTGGGTTTGAATCCCTGCCATTGTTTTGATTATATGGGTTCTCCCCCTCCCATGTATAACATGAATATGAACCAGTTTTCATCTTTAAAAGTCATCCATAAAGGTGTGGTGTATTTAATTATGTCAAAGCACACTAGGGCTCTCTGCCTAAGGGGAGGGATAACTTCATGGAGGACTTTCTAAGGGAAACTGGCTTGTATATATGTTACACATAGGGAAAACCACGAAAACACCAATGCAGCCAGCCCGTTTGCGGAATTCGAACCTCAGACCGAACTACCAGCATTCAGGGGCTTTACCGCTCGGCCGCTGGTGGGCCTTTATCCATAAAGGCATCCCTTCTCTAGGCTGATTAAGTCAAACATATATGTATCTCTGGATATGTCTGTGTTTTGTAAATAAAGTATGTGTGTACATTTCTAGTACACTTTTAACTATCATTGCAAAGACAAATGATATATGTAGCTGGATAGTCTCATCTTCTCCAGACAACTGCTATTTTTACTTTTGTAGCAGTTGTATTAACCCCTTCGAGCCAGGTAGCGAAAATGTGCGCTTATTGCGGAGGCCGGCAGTGTCTTCCGCGAGCGTCTCTTCAGGGCCGGGGGCTTTTTTGCTACTAAGCCTAAATCCATGAAATTTCCGAAGTATCAATGCATTGTTTAATAATGCTCTATAGAGTATTTAAACAGCTTATGCTTTATAGATATTTTTATATATATATACTTTAATTACCTTATTTCTTGTTTAAATGCATATTTTACACATTTTATTTTTAATTACTCACCATTTTATGACTTTTAACATTATAATCTGAAAACTAAATATATTACTTAAAATTCTCTTTTCATATGAAAAAATTTTAAAACAGGGATCTACACACAGTCCTACGTTACATTCCTTGAACTCGTAATAACTCATTTGCCGTTTTGGAGGGTTTTTCCGGGAATGTGAACAAACGAAGCATCGTCGTCTCATTTTCTTATCAATCTCTTCTGAACAAAGTTTTGGAAAATGTCTTTCAGTTAATCTTTCAGAATCAATATCAGAATATCATAATTTCAGAATCAATATCTGAAATATTTTGCATCATTTCTGCTATTTCATGCTCTGTTAAACATTTTCGACGCTTTGACATTGAAACGGTAAAAACAGAAAGAATTCACGTCTAACAAGATCTAATTATTTTCTAAAAACTGAACTGTAAACGGAAATACTCAACGCTTTAGCGCATATAAAACTTCTACTTACAATAAACAACTACCACGTGCGAATAAAGTGCGATTTAAAGAGATGTCATAAATCACGCCATTCGGAAACATTTAGTTCCCCATTTGTTTATATAATCAAAAACATGTGTATGTGAGTCATGCTTCTCTCATTTCAAGTAGAAGGTCTAATGCACATGTATCTGAAACCATATGGACATACAGTGCCATCTTGTGGCAGAAATTATAGTTTGAAAAACGTTCCAAGGTACTGGCACAAATACGTGACAGTCGGTAGAGAATGCAACAATCCTCTGGCACACCTGCGTGTCGGCCGGTAGATAAGTGTGTTTTGTTGCTGGCACGTATACGTGACAGTCGGCGCGAAGGGGTTAAAAGTGTGATGCATGATCTTATTTTTTTTTTGGTTACTAATGCAATAAATGTTAAATTATTAGTTATAAGTTCCATCTCTGGATTAGCCTACTGAACAATTATAATTTGTTTTTCCTATTATTTATCATTACTTATTAAAAATTTTTGTTTCCTCTAAAAGTGCTTCATTTCTCAGCAATTAAATGGGTTAGCAGCTGCATGGTGTTTTATGTTTTTTGGATGATCTTTACTGTATGGTACCCCTTTGTTTCTGTCTGTGTTGGTTGTTTGTGAAATCTGGAATCCCGCTGCGTGAAATAGGTTTTTCGATAACCCTAATGTTGATAATGTTGCCGAAACTAGCTGTGTGGAAAATTGTGTGTTTTTTTTTTTTTGGTTGATCTTTACATTATGGTAACTTGGCAATTTTTTGGCGAAAATTTGGCAACCAACTCTCCTACAGCAACCCTCTATTTTTTTTCCCTGCCGCCATTTTGTCTTCACGAAGTAAAGACATGTTTCTTTTCTTCTTATCTACTGAACACTTCTTCCAACAATCTACTAGCCGAATTACACTTATGCTAGAAATTTTATCAAACAAAACTGCTTAATCATGACAAATATTCACTGCAAAATTGGGAAAAAGTGCACAATACCATACTCCTTACGCGTTTTTCAAAATAACACATACACATAAACCATGTACACGCCGACTTATTTTTACTTAAAAAAACATCCCAGAATTGCACAAAAGTGGCATTGCGCACACTCTTCACTATATCCATGTACACTGCTTTTTTCTCATAAATTAGAAAAATTTCATGAAAATACATGACAATTTTCTCAATCTTTAAACCCGGTAAAAAGAACACATATGAAATTACCTGATCGCGAAAAAGTATTTACCCTTTACAAATATGAACATTTCCACATATAAAATAAATAAAATATCCAAAACCTTTTACCTCTAAATCATCTATTACATTATACATGTCACCAACGAATTCATACCGCAAGCATTACAAATACTTAGTATCAAAAATATTTAAATTATTTCCATGCACGTTTATTTCAACTTAAACGTATACCAAATTCCTACAAACATAAAATTCACAAAATAACTATCATTTAATTAAAATATCACTAAACCATGTACACGTCGACTTATTTTTACTTAAAAAAACATCCCAGAATTGCACAAAAATGGCATTGCGCACACTCTTCACTATATCCATGTACACTGCTTTTTTCTTATAAATTAGAAAAATTTCACGAAAATACATGACAATTTTCTCAATCTTTAAACCCGGTAAAAAGAACATATATGAAATTACCTGATCGCGAAAAAGTATTTACCCTTTACAAATATGAACATTTCCACATATAAAATAAATAAAATATCCAAAAACTTTTACCTCTAAATCATCTATTACATTATACACGTCACCAACGAATTCATACCGCAAGTATTACAAATACTTAGTATCAAATATTTAAATTATTTCCATGCACGTTTATTTCAACTTAAACGTATACCAAATTCCTACAAACATAAAATTCACAAAATAACTATCATTTCATTAATTAAAATATAATTAAATTCAAAAACACTACTTAAAATATAAATGAGCACATACATTAAATTAATAAAAATTACCTTACAATCCTAATTACTTTAAACTAAATCATTGCTAATAACAATTTTCCCAATAATACCAAATTCCTTTCCACCTTACATTTAGAACAATGCATAAAAATAATATCCTCAAATAATTAAAAATACTAACTTACCTAATCTTCTTCAGAATCTTGATTTACGTGGCGGATACACTTTTCTAATTCATTCAATAAAATTATTGAAAGATTTTTTTCTGCGAATTTTTCCTCCATACTTCCTCCGCTAAATAAAAAGCAAACTTCTCTTTATCACAATGCCTAAAT